ACATAAATTATCTATTAGTTGAGATAGACAATATGTAGTAATCTGTTCTATTGTTGGTAAGGTTTTGTTCAACAATTATCTATGTGAATGCGCGATCCTTATTCTTGGTTTAGTAGGTAAGATGACGCTTCAGGATTGGACTTCACCGACCCCTAGATTAGAAATAGGAAGTGAAGTGGTGGAGCCCGTTGACCGCTTCAATTACTTGGGAAGTGCCATCAGCAAACGCCAACGGGTTGATCTCTGACGAAATCTCAGCACGAATACAGAGGGCTAGTTTCGCATATGCCAGTTTACGCCGTCTCTGGCGTAGATGTGATATCCGGATGGCTGTCGACCAAAGGGCGTGTGTACTGCTCATCAGTCCTCTCTGTCCTCCTTTATGGCTGTGAGACCTGGCAATTGAGAGTGGAAGACATGAAAAGATTAGCTGTCTTCGATCATAGGTGTCTAGGTTCTATATCCCATGTGAAGTGGTATAATAAGGTGAGCAATATTGAGGTTAGGCATCGGTTGAGTGCTAGGTAAGAAGGGGAAAGCAGTCGACGATACTGTGAAATTATATCGACTGAGATGGTTAGGACATGTGTTACGTATGCCTAGCCATCGCCTTCCATCGCAATTTTAGCTGATATACGGTCAGGCTGGAAAAGAGCTAGCGGCGGTCAAACGAAAACATGGCACCAGTCAATGAAATCCACAACAGTTAGTCTAAGCCACGTAGGAAGGTGTAGACTTCCTGACTGGTTGGGGTCCTCGGAACGGTAAAAACCAATGGTTGGAAACAATTGGTGACATGGCTCAAAATCGTTCTCAGCAGCAGGCGCAGATGCATCCACTCCTTGTGACTTATGATTTCCAATGAAACCGTTATTACTATTCCTTTGTCTCACACCTCTGTTTACTGTCTATATTATGCATTTCTTCTACTTTCTTCTCTTGCTTTGTGTGCTACATGGAGGGAGTGTGGCGACTTGAACTGCCACACATATGTGCAAAGTTCTATGTCGAAAACCGACCGACCGAGGTATAATATACATCCTTGTTCATCAAAAATAATAGAGAAGATTTATAGCTAAGGTGGAGTTGGTTGTTTTCTCTGAGCTACTGGTAATTTAGTGGCGAAGCTTACTTTGTCCTTATAGGCAACATATTCAGCGCAAGCTTTAATATAAAATGAACTTATCTGAATTGTATCTCCAGGATTTCGCGGATGATATATATCTAATTTCACATGAACTAAAAGACTTGCAGGTGAAAGCCAACAAACTGGCAGAAGAGGCTGGCAGGCAGCGAAAACAGGACTCCAGGTGAACGCAGAGAAGACGGAGATGATGAAGATAACCAACGAACGGCAACAACAACAACAACAACCAGCACCAATCACCATCAAAGGGAGAGATTTAACAGAGGTTACTTCCTTCACTTATGTGACTAGGAAGCACGGTCTCAACTACGGTTGGGCGAACAGCATAGGTGAAGATGTCGAAGCCAACGAGCCAGCCAGTCAGAATCGGAAAGGCAAGATACGCATTCATCAACCTGCAACCAGTTTGAAAATCTTCTGCTTCACTCACTCAGCCAGCATGAAGGCGATTCGGATGTTCAATACAAATGTGAAGTCAGTCAGTGAGTGCTTCTATAGGGGTCAGAAAATTGCACTGCATGTCATGAAAGCATTTCCAAGAGGTTGCAAACTTTTACCAGTTCTCTGGCCCCCATATTGGCCAGAAAGAATTAGCGACAAGAAACTGTGGAAACAAACCAGCCAAGAACCGATTGCTCAACAAAAATATGTAGGAGAAAATGAAAATGGATCGGGCATACGTTGAGGAGACTGCCGAATGACATTGTGCGTAATGCAGGCTATTGCCCGAGTGGAATTCCAATGAAGGGTGACGAAGGGGTCGTGGACGCGAGGGTGATATGGAGGAGATTGTGTGAGTTATAAGAGGAGATGAGAGATTATGAGCAGTCATTGATCCAGCCGAAGAGGACGGCAGAAGATTAGACAGAGAGGAGATGTGTAGTTGAATTCCTATGTTTCACTCGGAACTCAAGGGAATAATAATAATAATCTCTTGACAACCATTTTCCTGAATGGTTGTTATTTTATGAATCTGTTGGTCATCTTTATATTGACTTGGAATTTGAATTTTCTTGTCACGCTGTTTCCTGTTTATAGCTAGGAAATTCTGTCTGTAGTAATGCGTTTGTCAATCGCTGAATACCAACGAGGCTTCTAGAAGTATTCTGACACTTTGATGTTTCCTATGTTTAAAATTTCCCCATTCTCCCAATCATATTGGTGTCAGTACCTGTCTATCTGCATCGATGTGAAAGAATACATATCATGTCTTTCCACAGCAAAATTATGCTCTTGGAACCCAATTCAGCATATATACATCTTTATATATTCAACTAGTAGTGATCATACATGGATTAGATAGAAACGTCTTATTTTGATAATCACCATAGTAATATTCATACCAACAAAATTATTACTAATTGATGAAAGTAAAGATAAGAATAGCGAAGATGGCGTGCTAATTTACACACTCCCATGATCCGATTAGGTCAGAATCTTACAAACTTAGAAGATGATGAAAAGAAAAAGCAAGTGCGCAGTCAACCTTTTGGTCGATCTAAAGAATAACAGCCATGGAGTGAAAACACACCAGTGACTTTGAATCCATACTATTCGTTGGATCAGGGAACCTGGCGTTATTATAGCGTCAGCTTGAATGATGTTCACGAACTGAGGTGTAAATTTCAATTTGATCTCACTTTTCAGTACTGTTTGGACAGTGGGTTGATAGCACGTTAGGGTAAGGGCTGTGGTTAGGAATAGGATTAAGGGAAGTGTTAGAGTTAAGATATGGATTAGGGTGCACAGTGGCCTGTTGCAAATGGCTTCCGGGATGTGAGTACCAAGTTTCTGACCCTTACAGAAGAGCTGACTGATTTAACATTGGTACTGGAACTCCAGATTTTGTTGTTTTTACTGAAAACTACCAGATTTCGTCACTGATTCGAGATTAATAGAAGTCTATCTTGCTTTCCTGACCCCGCCTTTAACAGTCTCATTGGTCCTGCTTGTAGTTGAGATGATTTTGCCCAAATAAGTCAAAGAAGTAATCTCCTTCAAACCTCTCCCGTTGATAGTCAGTGCTGCCTATTGTTTTTATTGCTGGTTAGATATCTCCATCCCTTCCGTCTTCTTTCTCGACGGTTTGTCGCATTTCTCATTATATCAGTAGGATATGTTACAAATTTCACTTACATACTTCAGGTAGTACTTAGAACTTGACAGTACCCAGCTTACTGGTTGTCAGTCAACATGCTAACTATGTTACGAATATTTTTAGTTTTCTTCAAAGTTAAGTTTGAATATGAATCAAAATCAGTCAGTAAACGACTGAAAACTAGGGAGCACTGGTCATCTGTTTCGTCCTAGTTTTGGCCTCTTTAGCAGTGTGCATCCACGACACCATCAGGAGTCGGAGTGAAGACATTTGGCTTATGAGGCCAGTCCACCCAGTTGTAACCCAATGAATGACCCGTGAATCCTGTCACAAAAAATGATGTTAACTTAAACACACAATTACATTCATCCTTACTTCTTATTTGTTCCATGTACGGTTTAAAGTTTGGAAAGGTATAATATTATGCGTAGCTAATATAAAAGTACCTCATGTCGTGTAATTCTTCTGAAAACAATTCTTAAAGGAGTAAGGTTTTCCTAGATTTAAATCTAAAGCTAAATAGAGGGAAGAAGAGGTATAGAAAGTAAACATATCTTCACATGAGTACCAGGCTTTTAGAAATTCCTTGCCATTACGTGGATTCATTCGTCTACGAGGTTAAAATGAGCAAAATTCATGTGATCAATGCAACTTTTATTACTTTTATGGGTGAGAGAAGGCTTCATCTCGTCCGTTTATCGAATGATCTGAGAATGATTGAACATCTATCTTGGATATCTGGAAAATTCTACTACACTCACCAGATATGGGACAAAATAAAGAGAACTTTAGGAAATGACTTTCGAATTGTACATTTTAAAACTGATTTGGTTCAGAATATTGAAGTGAATTCGAAATTTTATTTGGTTAACAATAATATGATTTTGGTTTCGTTAAGATCTTGCAGCCGGGTGGTTTAACTGAGAAGCTTTCAGTGTCATCATCAGTAGAAACTTCACTATGCAATGAACTTACTGGAATTCCCGATGAAAGATATATATGTGTCTTCTGACAATCTTAGTTGTAAACTGTTGTTAACTCAACTTCTTGTGTCATATGGTTTATTCTTTATTATTTTAACTGCTGGCTCATTTGAGTGCCAGACTTCTGGGAATTCTTTGACATTTTCACTATTTTCACTGTTTAATAATTTCTGCATTTTTCTAATTAAACTAGTGTCCATAGTTTTCTCCAGCATCCAAATGACAGAAAGCATGTCGCGTCTTTGGACAGCAAGCTTGTACTCTTGGACTTGGATTTTTAGGTACACCATCTGTCAAGGAACTTAGCTCTAAGTTCCTATTGTAACGAAGACGCTTTGAACCGATAACGACTATGTATTTTCTCGACTTTAACTCCAAAACACCAGTATTCTTTGAACGAAGTTATATTGTTTGGCAATTAAAGCAAAGATTAATACAAGTCTATAAACAAATGTTTTATACAAAATTATGAAGTACTTTTATTCGTATTCGTCTGTCTTCTTCGAACTTGCACACGATTGAACCATTCGCGCCTTCGAGTTGCCCGCCAATGATGACCAAGGTCATTGAACCAACGTTCAATGTTCGTATTCCTTGACACCATCTTTGGTAAATATATAGAGCGCTTTACACAGTTCACTGTTTCATATAAACGAATTAATATGGAATTGCACGTTACCAAGTTTTACGTAGACATTTACCCGCGTGGTTAAGGTTCATAGATTAAACTGAAACTTTATTATTTCTTGTGTTTATTTCCCTCAACCATCAGAGAAGCACTAAGTCGTGTATTAACACGTTTGTTATATTGGCCGGTTAAACAGAAATATGTTATCCAACTACTCAGCCAACTCGGTTTCCCCAGAAGTAAAGAGGTAAGTTAAATTTCATCATTTATCAGTCAAAAAGTTATTTTCGTCACTCTCCCTAATGTTTTCAACAGTATATGTATAAATATTGTTGTTATTGGATCGAAGGGACATGACGTCCTTCAAGGTAGCAGATACGCCCTACTGGGCCTCCTGCCAATTGCTTTCAGCCGTCTAATATCAACAATTCAAAGTGCACCGTGATGGTGAGCCACCTGGCCTGGTGGCCACATTGCAAAACTTGACTGATAGAATTCAATCTACACCGAAGGTTGGACTAGACACACAAATCACACTAATTACTGACTAGTGTTCAATCAAAATACATATGTATGTGTTACGCGACACAGATGTTTTGATATACATGCTTCTCCTCAGTTACCTCCAAATTTAAACAGAATCATAATGTGTATTCTTTATTATTGATGCCAAATTTTGTGAAAGGAACTCCCCTTGAAGTTGGCTTACAAAATTGATGAAGCCTTTACCACTGAAACCGTCACACTTGTAGCTCCTAAAACACTCTTCTACTTGAATCTACAATTCAATGAAGACTCATCGGCAGAAATATTGAGAAACCGTCTCTCCCATTCATGGAAGAAAATGTTCGTCTCTGATGAACTTCGACTGACTGACTGTCTCCACAAAACTAATTATTCACTTGGAAATGAGCGATGGGCAACCATTTCTAGCTTCACCATTGTTTATCTGTCAGTTCACCTGTTTGTGTGAAGCTAGGCATATTGGCCGTACTCAGCGTTTGCTCTCCAAACGCACGATCGAAAACTTACCCTCGTGGTTTTATAAAGGAGAAAGAAAATACCCCCCACACCTCAGGTTTATCGTGAAACACTTGATCGTATCTGGACACTTATGCACCCAGAAGGCCATTTAGCCAATAAAACTACAATGGACCTTGTCTCTGTAACACCTGATACATAATTTTTGTTGTTTCTTTTTAAAAAACTTTATTTCTTTTCTTGCCTCACTCCAAATTGACTCACATTCAATTTTACTTGAATTCTACTCAGTCCTGTCAACTATATTGCGTCACTGAATTAACATATTGAATTTTATTTCAGTTTCTACTCGATTAACACTTTCTTATATTGCGTAATTTGTCTGAAAAAATTTTACAATTTCAGGATTTTATCATAAAGTGATATCGGTTAGAGGACCATTGGCTGTGAGGACAATTACTCGCCAGTAACATTCTTTAGTGATCGCGGAATATCGTGAAGTGACAGATGTTGGAATTCATGGACTGGCCATTGGATCGGCTCTCACTGGCTTAATGGTCTACGAGCTAGCTCACCTTGTAACCAGAAGGTCTTGGGTTCAACGCCCCGTGGTGGGTGCGTGCTGACGATGAGTCCCAAACAAGGATGGACAAAACAGTTGTCCAGTACTCTCATGTTTCCCAATGGTCCTCTAACCGATGTCAGCTCATGATGAAATCCTGTAGCCAATCAAATCTCTGCAAACTAACACCTCAGTTTTATAATTCTAACGACACACCTTTGGAAATATTCCATTTGTTGCTAAAAGAATTATATATATATGCGATTGTGTAACCCAAGAATGATGCCGCTGAAAAGAGCAACTCTTCGCTGAACATCTGCTTAATATGACTTAAATGGAAACTTTCTGTTGTTTTTTCTAAATAAAGGTTAACTAAATAAGAATTCCTAACGGCTTACAGACCAACAGAGTCGATAGCCTACAGCTTCATCCACATTTGACATATGATTCTGACGTTTGTTATTTTGGTGAAGTAGTTAAGATGAAGACAGTCAGTGACTTATCTAAGAAGTATGGTTTCGACTACACGCAGACGGTAAGAATGATATCAAAGCCGGAATGATTATGAGCAATAGTTTGTGCTCGAAACGTCATCAGTTAATATAACTGTACAACACTGTGATTTATCAAAATAAAATCTTATCCATTATGGAATTACACTCTACCACAGTGCCCAAGTTCTATACTTATATTGGTTAGTTTTTTTATATTTAGTCGGTACACTAATAATGCCAATCAATATGATCTTAGAAGCAGAACTAACATCTGATCCTGAACTTAGTCATGGGACGAAGCTGCCCATTGAGAAAATTATTTAAGGAATTTAGTTATGCCTTATATCTGCTAACTTTGAATTCCAGGGCAAAATATAAAGACAAACAGGAGGTGCAACAATGGGATCATCAATATCCCCTATCGTAGCAGATATCTTTATGGATAGCAGAGAAAATATTGCTCTTAATACATTTAATCCCAATTCAAAAATATAGTGGAGATATGTGGATGACACTGTCACACAGTGTTAAAAACAGAACATATCTCTAGCTTGCTGACGTATATAAACTAAATAGAAAAAGAACAAGCCCACGCATTCTAATAGATATTTAGACTTTAATTCATCTCATCCATTGTTTCTAAAGGCAGGCTTAGTTAAATGTCTAAAAAACCGAGCAATAGCACTGAATAGTACAAAAAAAGACCTAAACAATTCAATGAAACAGATCGAAGGAGAGGCATTGATGTTAAATAACTATTCCATAAAATTCATTAGGAATATTAAAAAAGGTCAAAAGCAAAATAGTAATAATGGTGAAACTAATAATGATAACATAAATAAGAAAGAATATACGACCATTACAGTTTTACCATATCGGGAGGGGACATCTGAGACCCTACGTAGGATTCTAAATAAAGCAGGAATTCGAATGCCATTTAAACCTAAAAACTGACTCATATGGGACAAGCTGTGTAGGCTAAAGGATCCAGTGGACCCAATTTAACAATATAATATAATTTACAAAATACCTTGCAATGACTGTGAGTTAGAACAACTAAATAGGTCATACTGGTAGATCAGAAGTAGTCAGATTGCCTATCGGAACATAAGGATTTAGCTTAGGTTAAAGTAATTGAACACACGAAGATAAGTAATGTAGAGAAAAACTCAGCAATCTCACTGTATGCATTAACATACAACCACACAATAGGGCGGGTGGGACAGAGTCAAAATTTCAAAAAATGTAATATAGGTTGGTGGAAAGGGTGGTTGATTACTGAATCCTGGCTCATTGAGTCAACACCCAACAGATGCAATAGAAGTGACTCAATGCAAATACCAGAGATATGGAAGATATTATTACTACCAGTCAAATCAGAGGAGGATAATAAATAATATTAAAATTCTATTTCACTTCACGTACATTACAACATTCTAGCAAGTTACTTATTTTAATATAAAAACATCTTATTTCCCATCTGATTGTATTTGATTGATAACACTCATATTATTATTTCCGAATATACTTTGTCTTATGTTGACTTTATTCAAATGTATAATCATCAGTTTTTACTCATGTATATAAACGAAGCAAGACAGTTGTATGAGACTACCTTGATATGTTTATGAGCAGTAATAAATTGTACTCGAAAGGTGTTCATCAGTAAACATTACTGTATAACACTGTGTGACTTTATCAAAATAAAATATTATCCATAATGGAATTACATAGTAAGAATGACTTCTCTCAGGCAGTCGTATGGCTAATAAATTTGTTATAAACACCTCATGACACTCATATCATCTTTCTGAGGCCTTTCAGCCTTGGATGTTATCGAATAATAACAAAGAGGATTAAAATATCAATTTACCCATACATCATGGTGCAGTGAATATCAAAATTTTTATTTTTAGAAATAAGATATATATATAAATATCTATTTTCTTTCTCTATGAACTGATACAAACTTGAGGACTATTCAAAGTCACCGAGCAATTCTTTGATTGATTATGACCCAAACGTTTTAATAAAAATATGTTCTTATCCTTCACATCTGAAGAGTTCACAGTCCCCTAACTTTTATAAGTCTCTGAGACTCAGATAAAACATCTTTCTAGTATCTTAAGGGGGGAAATTGCAGCTGACATTCTAAAATGTCGACTTAATAGAGCAGTAGATAGAACATTTCCTGCAGCTAAACTGGTACTCAACTTCTCAACTAAACCAGTACTCACACAGTAAATAAAGGATAAATTACCTCATCAATGTGCATCTATGAATTCAACTGCTCATGTGGAGCTAGTTACATTGGCCGTGCACAGAGGGCTTTATCCATGCGCACGCGTGAACATGTACCTGTATGGTTGAGCAAAGGAGTAACCAAATGTGTAAATAGTGCAGTCTTAGCCCACTTGGTAGATACTGGACACCAGATAAAACTTGACCAGGCGTTCTCAGTTATTTACCGCGTTCCTAGTAATTTATCTAGAGGAGCTCGACTGCGTCTTCTATCAGTAGCTGAAGCGGTGGCAATTAATACCAGAAGACCATCTCTTTGCATATAGAAGAAGTATGTTCAACCACTATGTTTAACTTGGCCTACAATAAAGTCAACAAATCCTCCATTAACACTATAAATTCCTTTTACAATTTTCTTTTCTTTTCTTCTTCTTCTATTCCTCTGTTTCATTGACAATCGTTCATTTTCGACTTTTATGATTTCATGACCTTTCTTATGATTTTATTACCTTAGGTTTAAGTAGTGCTTTTCTAACTTGCTGTCTTATTTACAAAATCCTGTTCATTCCACTTCATTATATTCATTATTATTATTTGACAATCATTCACCAATAGTGCTTGTAATTTTACACCATATCATCGTTATTATTTTACAATCATTCTTAGTGTCGTTATTTTCAACCTTGAACTTGTCTAGTCGGCCCCATTCGTTGGTTTATTTTCACATTGTCTCACACACCCTGATTACACACATTCTCGAAACCTGTATTTTCTGTTGACTATATTTATATATATACACACATCATTAAATTAAATTACTTCATCTCATTTTGTCCCATGTTCTCATTGACCATGCATATTAAAAAAACTATCTGACTATTGTTCCATCCCATCTTATACTTGTTCCACAATACACTTTCTGATATGATTCTAATTTGCCTTTACTGACTGGCTATTGTATGCTTAAAT